AGATAAAGACTCGGAGGGTGAAGACGATGGGAAGCACAATCACAAGTCAACTGATTTGTCATGCCATGAGCCTTCTCCCCGCGCCGCTTGCCAACTGCAAACATGGAAGGGGCTTGCTTTAATTAATAGCAGGTCTCAGCAGACCACTGGAGGCAGTGGCACTTGTTTTCAGGTCATCTGGTCCTAATAGGCTCACACTGGGAGGTGATTTGTTGCTAACTGACAGCAGAGATCAGTTAATGAGGGCCGAGGCCTTACAATCCAACGTAATGAACCGCAGGGCTATTTCTACATTATTTGTCATCATCATTAAAAAAAAAAAAAAAAAAAAAAAAAAACCACAAAATTGCTCGAGGAGACGTTGGTTATTAATCCAGATATTTACAACATAAAAATCACTGCCTGCTCTGCAGGATTTTCTCTAGGCTGCTCTGCGTCAGGAATTGAGCACGCAATAAGTGGTGCTACGGATTGGCAGGGCACAAGCTATTCTGCGGTGACACACACATCGGTAGTGTCCCCAAGGGCTCGTCTACACGGGGACGTTGGTGCACAGCGACTTCATCTCGTTTTCGCACACCCTCAGCGCCACAGCATGCTCCACTTTGGAAGCAGATCTCCTTCCAATGCCAGGAAGGAGAAAGTATCCATGAAGGCTGCTGCCCTTCCCCGCTCCCCCAACTACATCAGCGCATCCAAGGAAATCCCCTGCCTCCCCGTAACAATATTCTGACTCTCAGAGCACCAGAGCTACAAAACCACTGCTATTACAGAGCTCACGGGACTCTTTGCACATGCTAAGGGCATCCCAGTGGAAGCCCCGTCCAGGGGGGCCATCGTGGCACTTCCACAGCAAGGGAGAAACAACCTCTTGGCATCCGCACCGCTGAAGGAAGATTTCACACACAGAATCACAGAACCACAGAATCCCAGAATCATCCCAGAATCCCAGCATGGCAGGGGTTGGCAGGGACCTCCTGAGATCACCCAGTCCCACTCCCCTGCCCAAGCAGGCTCACCCAGAGCAGGGGGCACAGGACAGCGGCCAGGCGGGGGTTGAATATCTCCAGAGAAGGAGACTCCACAGCCCCCCTGGGCAGCCTGGGCCAGGGCTCGGGCACCCTCCAAGTCAAGAAGCTCTTCCTCACGTTCACCTGGAGCCTCTTCTGCTTTAGTTTGTGCCCATAGCCCCTTGTCCTGGAGCTGGGCACCACCGAGAAGAGTCTGGCTCCATCCTCGTGACACCCACCCTTAAGGTATTTGTACGTGTTGATGAGATCCCCTCTCAGCCTTCTCTTCTCCAGAGAATTTCCTCTTGCACAAGGCTGAAATGCTGTAACTACAGAATACTGTGGCACCATCTTTCCTCATGGTGCTTTTAAAACTGTTCCTGTAATGGACAGCTGAAGTGTGCAAGATAACCAGGCACTGGGGCTCCTGCTGGAGATGCATCTACAAGTCACATGGACAGATTAATCCCAGCATCGTTCCAGTTTCTGCATTTATTCAAAGCTTCTTGCTCTGTACAGACCACCAGCTCCATCACCACCAGGGAGTAAACGGTACAACTAACGGAGGGACAAACCACCACAGGACGAAGAACTGATCTGCCATCGGCAGCCTGATGAGCCACCCACGTGTCACCAAGGGTGACAGCCACCCTGCAGTAACTGTAGGCCACTCCTGGTTTGCTGCCATTTCTTTGATCTACACGTCTCAGTGCGTTTCTCACAGCACTGCTGATGCTCACTTCTGCACTCTGAACCTGTCTTTCTGCCTCAGCTACTTTGCAGTCAGCCGAGGAGGAACCAGATATTTTGAAGACCTGCATCAGCTGTCCCAACACGGACCTCTCCGCTCGCCGCCCAGCTGGGTTCCTTACCAAAGCCTGTCAGCTTCTCAAGGTGACAAAACTCTGCCAACATGACTCCTCCGTGTCTCCTGCCCTCTATCTGCCCCTGTTGCCAAAATGGAGAGGAGCATTAATGCCAGCAACGTGGAACCGGTCACCAGCCCTCTGCTGCAGCCGTGCTGCGGTGGAAGGCAGGTTGTGAGCAGCAGCGGCACGTCAAGCTGGAGAGCTTCACTTTACTAATTCACAAGGTGGAAAAAATACTGAACTAAGGGCCGAGGAGGACAGTCAAGCTCTCCCATGCCACGCAGTGAGACAGTGGACAGTGAACGGCTGCTAACCCAAGTGTTGAGGTTGGTGGGACAGGGATTCAGATTGTACTTCAGCGGCGGAAGCATGGAGCTGGTGTGGACACACCTCGAGGGGGGGTATGAAGCATGGGAGCTCACACCAAACACAGCCTGGGTTAATTATATATAGATACAGGTGGCACAGAGGAGCAGGACGGCAGCCAGCGAGCAAGCCAAGCCAGCAGTATGGAAAACTATGGAGGAGAAGCATTCCAATAAAATGGAGAATTTCCACTCAAAACTATGAGGCACTTCACCAGCTCTACGCTCTTTGCTGCCACCAGTGCAGAGCTGCCTGGCAGCTGCAGAGCAGATAGACACGCTTTGTGCCGGGATCTGCTGTCCACCACGGACTTGCTGTGCCAAGCCGCTCACTGCCAGCTCCCAGCCAGGTGCTCCTGCCTCCATAGCTCTCCTAATGATCCGCACCCTGCTCTAGATAAACATTTCATAGAATCATAGAATGATGGAATGTTTTGGGTTGGAAGGGACCCCTAGAGGTCACCCAGCCCAACCCCCCTGCAGGGAGCAGGGACATCTCCAACCACATCAGGTTGCTCACAGCCCCGGCCAACCTGGCCTTGGATGTTCCCAGGGATGGGGCCTCCACCCCCTCTCTGGGCAACCCCCGCCAGGGTTTCACCACCCTCACTGGAAAGAATTTCTGCCTTATCTCTAGTCTAAACCTGCCCTGGTTTAGTTTAAAGCCACCACCCCTTCTCCTGTCACAGCTGTCTCTACTAAAAAGATTTCCCCCGTCTTTCTTATGGGCCCCCTTTGCAGCCTTTCAGTACTTAATCAGGTCTCCCCGCAGCCTTCTCTTCTCCAGGCTGAACAACCCCAACTCTCTCAGCCTGTCCTCGTAGCAGAGGGGCTCCAGCCCCGAAACAAGCCCACACAGCTTTTTCCCCCCAGGTGAATCGGGGAACCTGGGTAGAAATGGAGTGGCGAGCAGCCTGAGCGTTGACCTCCTCCCATGGCACAGTCTGTTTGCAGAAAAAAATGCCTGAGAAAGGATGTCTGTGGCTTGAGAAAAGGGAAAAAAAAAGTCTTGGCCAGAGGTAAAAACTACAAACTGCTGTGGGGGTCTTTAACGTTCCAGCAGAAAAGGTACAACCATATGTTTCAGAGGCTTATTTGGAAACTCAGCCTAAGAAGTAACCTCCGTAAGTCGCTCCTGAAAAATGTACCTGCCTCCCTGGGAATTAGGTGACCCTGCTAAAGATGCCGACCCGAGCTTCTGGGGAATCTGAGCATTAAAAGCCTGAAGACTGCGCCACGAGACCACAACTTTAGCAGTGTTAAGAGCTCCTCTCTTACAGATTACTTGGGATATGACTTGAGCACCGTTTCCACCTTGAATGCTGTCCAGAGGTGATGGATACCAAGCACTGTGGTTCTATCAATGCAAGGTGTTGACCCACCAGGAGAACACCTCCAAAAGCCTGCCCCTGTTCAGCATGTCAGCCGTCACGCTATTGCTCCGCAGCCTCAGAGTCACCCTTTTAACTTGGACTGGGCTAATTCACCGCAAATTAATGCTCATGCGGATAATCTGAGTCCACCCAGCAGCAAAGCCCCGGTGAAGAAACCCAAGGCAGGGTTGTGCATGAAGCCATCAGCAGTAGAAGCCTCCTTCTATTGAAAAGTTTGGGCATGCACGGACAGAGACACCTCATGGTTAAAATATTTTTTGGTTCTGTAGACTGAATTCTGTCAATTAAAAGATAAACATGCTTGGCAATTCAAACAAACATCTCAAAAGCACTGCAGTAAGGGAGCAGTTACTTGGTAGTGAAATATATAGATATAAAGCGTTACCCACTGCTATTGAGACAGCACTTATGACAGCTCCCAAGTAGCCCTGGATGAACTTGGATGTCGGAGAAGGCTTTGGAAAGAAAAACAAAACATATTTTCAATAAACAAACTTCTGGTTATTAAAATGCAACCAAGCTTGTTTTGTTTTGTTTGGTTTGGGTTTTTGGTTTATTTGTTTTAAACCCGAGACAGGTTTAATTTTGTCATATTGTTCTGTGACACATGGTCTGTCATCTAGCAGCGGCAAAAGCAAGGAAAATTGTAGCCTCATGAGCAAGGTTAAAGGGAATGGAAAATTAATTGGCATCAGAAAATTATAATAATAGCAGCTTAAAGGAAGTATGTGAATGAAATTCAGCAAATGGTACAAAATTAGCATTCTTACCGAGCAGTGATGAACCCCAAACTCTCCCCATTAAATAGCTGGCTTTGCAACGTTATCTCAATGAGCTGGATGGTTTCCAGCTCAGTTTCCCATCTTGAGCTTCCCACATCCCGACATGGGATGAACGAAGCCTAAAGTGATGGAAGAGAGCAGGACCAGCCCCACCGCTTCCCAGCACCGCTGCTGGCGGCGCACGCAAAGTCCTCGGGAGATGGCAGCGTGATCATGGAGCCGCCTTCTGCTACCCAAAAACCCAAACACCATTTTGCTCTGTGCTCGTTTACATATCCGATTAAACCATTTCATACCAGTTAGAACCATATACTGGTTCAGCTCAAAGGCACTGAGCGTTACGTATGTGCCTCGAGTGATTTTGAGATCCTCATGCCATCTACAGCTGAGGTTTAAAATGGAAGCCTACGCAGGAGAATGGCCAATCTATAAACTCATCACAGAGCTGACTCCGGAGTTTCTATTAACAGCGAAGAGAAAAGACTTATGTTTCCGTGTCAAAACAGACCCAACGCGCCGCACGCGCTGCATATGTTGGGTCTCCTCACCTTTGTCGCGTTGCGGTTTGCATAGTTGACGCAGGCATTGTGGCTCTGATTCAACCACTAAAGAGGAAAGGAGAAGAGACAGGCATGAACATAACTTTGCAAAAATAATAATTTAAAAAAAATAATCTACAAACGTGCAAGTGCCACAGGAAAACTCATGTCCCTTTTGACCTGCTCACACTTTGCCACCTCTTTTCAAAGGCTCATGCATGCCCTACATCTGATTTAATGCCCTTCAAAGTGAGAGATGGAAATCCCAAGGCACCCAGTGCCCAGAGGGCAGCTCTGCTTCCCTGAACACTTGACATGCAATTCTTCTCCTGGCCCAATCCACCTCCACACCACACCTCGGTGCTATTGGGCTTTATTTTTGTCAGGGCCAAATCCATGCTGCTGTTAAGACGCTGCAGTAAGCCCAACAGCCATTTCGTCAGTCGCTTATTAAGCTCCATGGTTCTCAAACAGGGGGTCATAGGAGGCTTCAGCTGAGGAACAGGAGATGAGCAGAGGTACCGTCTAATGGATACAGATGCCACTAAGCTGGTATTTCTGTCCACAACTTTTTCATAGACTCATAGAATTGTTTAGATTGGCAAAGCCCTTTAAGCTCCCCCAGCCCAACCGTTCCCCTACCCCTGCCATCCCACCCCCAAACCCTGGCCCTCAGCACCGCCTCTGCCCGGCTGTTAAATCCCCCCAGGGCTGGGGACTCGACCCCTTCCCTGGGCAGCCACTTCCAGTGCTTGAAGTGCTTTTTTGTCACCAAAGCAGCATGGCAGCAGCGGGGGATGAGTAGCACCATGCTCCTGAAGGGGTTTTGCCCACAGCAACTGCTGCCAGTGTAAAGAAAATTATAGTTTTCATCCCCAAAACACCACATTCCCACTTCACAGTGTGTCAGAACTGGACTCCTCTCCAGCTGCAACCAGAACTAAGACAGACGAGTAGAAATGAAGTGAGGGTGAGGACAGAGGCACTAAACCATGGGGATCAGCCCAGTCATTCCCGAGTTCACAGCCCAAGAGCACG